TTGCGCTCCATTTATCCTATCTATACAACTTTACCACGTCTACTCGCCAATTTCTGGCACAGTTACCCGAAAGGGATTGACAACCCCTTTAACACGTGTGGTTGCAAGTATTTGTTATGTGTGCGCATGGGCTGTTTACATTGTGTTGTGTGGTTCTCCTACTGGTTTGATAACCTTGATCTCATCATTGAGGGAAATACCTACTGTTGTTGTGCTGCATCATCCCTTCCTCTTTGGGGAAATACCGACGTAGTTCTAGCAGACATCAAGCTCCTGAGCAGAGAATGGTGCGTCCGGGTGCGCCAGGTCCCTCCTCAGTAGTCCCAACACATCTAAGTTGAGAGTGCAGCTCCTCTCCGTGGCTGTCCCCAAAAGTTTCCCATAGTATGCATCTACCGCTGTCGCAATGTTGTCCTGTCCTGTGTGTACATGGCCATCCGAGGTGAGGGATAGGATCAGATTTTTCCTCTGTTGATGCCTAACCTGTCGTTGGAAGAAGGCTGTACTGGCCTCCCCCTCCTTCAGTTGCAGGACCCTAGATCGCTAGCGAGCGATCAATCTCTGCAGCGAGCACAGACCCATTAGTTTTCTCTTTAGAATCCCGCGCAGCTCAAATTCCACCTCCGTGAGAGCTCTAGAGTCCATTGCCACACCGAGTCGAGCTCTATGGGAAATGAGAAGAACAAAATAAAAGAGAAAAAAGAAAAAGGGAAAAAAGACTGGGTAGACACCGCTCTCTTCTCTCATGAATAACTCCAAACTATCCTTGCTCTCTCTCTCTCTCTCTCTCTCTCTAAAAGGTTCAGGTGATATAGCAGAAAAAACGACACTCTTGCCCGATAGAAACCAAAGAAGAAAGAGAAATGGCCCACCAAATTAAACAATGGGGCGCGAAATGATAAACGACAATATGACGTCTCTTCTTTTGGTCACTCCTTTCTCTTCTCACTCTCTCAGCCGCCGAGAGACAAACACCAAGGAGATGGAATACCCCGTTGATGCGGCTACCCTCCAACAGAACGACAACGAGCTGAGATGGGCCGCAGAAAAGACTACGAAAAACGAAACAGAAAAATGGGTAGCAGAGAAAAACAAAAAAGTGCCGCGACGGGCTCCTGAGTTGCAAAAAACACGAATTGCGACGCAAGTAGATCAGATGGGAAGCAGTGAACGAGACAAAATTATAATTCACCTATCTGAGTTTGAGCAAATCCGAAATAGAAAAAGAGAAAATAGAAAAGGGAAGGAAACCGGAATAAAGCAGTAATAAAAAAAACTTCTAAAACCAGCGGCTCGCACATGGATGACATACATGCACTCTATCCGACCCACACGGGCAAGAGATCGATCTGTACTTGTGGGCCTATAATACAACAAACAGATACACAAACAGATAAATTGGCCGCGCAACGTCGCTCTACCGGCCTGTAGGTAGGATCGGCGTTGCAGGCTGGTAGAGCAACATGTTTTAGCTGTTTGTTTCAGCTTCAGATTAATCCTATCAAAATCTGCCTTATAAATCTGAAACAAACAGGGCATAATTGGACGGTAATGGGCGTGAATGAGAGTATGAGACGATACTAAAGCTCACCCAACTAGCTGAGTTTTAGCCATTGAAAGAAATAGCATGCTATGACAAAATAGTGTAGTCCTTAAAATACGCTATTAGCATGCTATACCTTATTATCGCGTGCTATTAGCAAAATACTATACACTGATTTATTTAATAAGACATTTTTATAAAATCTATAGCGTGCTATTACCGACGCGCGTTTTTTCCCCCACTGGTTTTACCACATCCATATGAAGGAAAAAGTGTTACGTTCTTGTGTTTTGTCAAATCAGCACTTGTGTCGGACTGGAATCGGAATCGTGAATCACCACGGAACAAATCAAAGTAGTTCGTTTTCATATACACCACGGACCCCCATACTAGTATAAGTAGTCACCACCCGCCTTCCCATACGCCCGCCCCGAGCTGACCTACCTTCCTACAAATCGCTCATCGCCCAGCCCACCGGCGAAACCTCTCAAGTCAGTCAGGAGCACGGCGACGCCGACAACAATGACCGACCCCTACCGTGCGCTATGCTTCGGGATGCGCTTCAACCCGAAGGGCGAGGAGGCCATTGCTGTGTACCTCGTGCCATGGCTCCTCCGCCAGCCGCTGCCTGACACCGCCGTAATCATCCATGAAGCGGAGGTTTACAAGTCCGAGCCAAAGGATCTCGCCGCCGTGTGGCCCCGCCTTCCCAACACCCACCACCGGTTCTTCTTCACCACCTGCAGGCGTCAGAAAGCCGGGTCGGGCTTCAGGATGAAGCGCACCGCGGGCGCCGGCAGGTGGGTCACGAGTGACAAGACGGAGGTCAAGAACAGCGCCGACGAGACGATCGGATACCACGAGAAACTTCGCTACGAGTACAAGGGCCAGAGCGGCAAGTCCGAGTGGCTCATGGACGAGTATCACTGCCGCGGATTCGACGAATACGCCCTCCTCCATGACGGCAAGGAGGAGCGCGTCCTGTGCAGGCTCTACGTCTCGCCCAACGCCAAGCCGGGATCCGTCGCGCTTCAACAATCTGCTGCCGCGGATCACCTCATGCCTCATCAGCGTAGCATCTGCCGCGGCGTCCGTGGAATTCAAGGACCCCCGAAGCAGCAGCAGCAGCTGCCGCGGCGTCCACAAGAACAGGTTGCTGTGCCTCCCGCGACCACGCAGACGCAGGCGCAGGCCGGGATGAGGAAGCCAGCGCCACAAGTTGCTGACCGGCAGAGCCCCATGTGGTCCTCTGCCACTGCCAGTCCGAAGCCAGGATACGTCGCGCGCCAACAGGCTGCAACAGGAGATCATCGTCTTCGAGTTGAAGAACCCGCCATCATGGCCGCGCCGCGTCCACAAGCACGACCGCAGCAGGTGATGACGAAGCCAGCGACACCGCGCGGCCTTGCTCTTTCGTCGGGGCAACAACAGCAAGGTCGCGTCACGGTTCCTGCGCCGATGACCACGCAGCAGGCGGCAAAGAGGCCGGCGCCTCCCATTGCCGAGCCGCCGCAACCCAAGCGGATGCGTGCTGCTGCTCTCGCTCCGGCGGTGAAGCCGGCGTCCGCAGCACCACCTAGACAATCCATCCTATCGTGGGAGCCGGCAAAGCGACCGTCCTGGTTGCCGCCGCAGCAGCCGAATTTCCTGTCGGCGCCGCTGCCTCAGCGCCAGGCGACCAAGGACAAGGAGGGCCAGAGCACGATCAGGCAAGAAGGCCACACGAGGACGATCCAACAAAAGGCCTGCAACGAGGACACGGACGAGGTGTTGCCAGAGAAGGCGCAAGATGTAGACGGCAAGATCATCCAACAAGATGGCGATGAGGAGGAGTTTGCGAGGTTTTTGGATGACGTGCTTGAAGTAGCACCAGAGGAGACGGAAGACGTAGACGGCAAGATCATGCAAAAAGATGGCGATAAGGAGGAGGAGCAGGAGGAGGGCGACAACGACTTCGCGAGGTTCTTGGGTGACGAGCTTGAAATAGCGCCAGAGGAGACAGAAGACGTAGAAGGCAAGGCCGACCAACAAGATGGAGATGAGGAGGACGACTTCGCGAGGTTTTTGGATGAAGAGCTTGAAACAGCACCAGAGGAGACGGAAGACGTACAAGGCAAGGCCATCGAAAAAGATGGCGATGAGGAGGAGCACATGAGCACCTTGTGGTGATGGATACGGTTTGAAGAGCTGCCTGCGATGAAGAAGAAGGCATCATCGGCATGCGAGGTCACTAGTACTCGTAGAATGCTTCACTCCTGTCCTGTGATGAGTAGCTAGGATTTTTCCGTTAGTTGGCATACTCTTCACTGTAACAGTCCGAGACTGAAGCTTGTAAACATATATACTGTCGTACGTGGCTCCTAGCTTGGTAGTATAAAAGCTGGAGAGTGGGTGGCTGGGTGGCACGACATAAAAACTATATTTTTTGTTCATCCTTGTTTATTACCCATTTTGCTCCTTTCATTTTTGGCACTACCCTCTCTGCTCATCCTTGTTCGTCCCCTGTTTTGTCGGATTTATTTACTACGTACTGTTCTTCGTTGGGCATAAACCAGATTATTTCTAGCAAAAGAAGTATTTGATGTGCTCAGCAAATTCGGCGACAAGGGTGAAGCGCTCTTATATTTCTTTACAGAGGGAGTACTACCTAATAGCTTGGAAAAATATCTTGCATTACGGAACGGAGGGAGTAGGATTGTGGATGTGTGTCCAAATTCTTGTGGAAATGAATACATACTGTGTTTTATCACGGCTGTAAATATATGCATAGAATTTTTTTCTTCAAGTGGGTTCAGAGTGCTACTAAATGCATTCCTTTCATGTTTACTTACGGTTAAGAGTTTGTGTTATGATTAACAGAGCTTCTTTGCAATCTGATGCTCACGGCCTTATCTTAGGTCTAATTCTGTGTACTTTTTTTTTGCGAATATAAGTCGATGTACTTTCAATGACCATAATTTCATAGGACCTGGATGATTTCATCATTGACAGTGTATAGCCATTCTACCTTCCATAGAGAAATATAAACTCCTCACTCCTGTGATGAGTAGCTGGGATTTGTTTCAGCACAATGCAACAACTGAAACAGACGTCACAAATGATAGACTTTCTCACTTTTTTTGCTCTCGCACATTCAGTTAACTTCAGAACACATGCTGGAATGCAAGGAAATTACAGTAAAACTCAAGAACTGTTCTTGGTGAACCAGCAGCCTGGTCCGTACTTTCTTGGGGCCTCATTCATACAATCAAACGACAAACAAGATGCACAACATTCAGAGGGTCTTCAGGGACAGATTTCTGGAAACGCAGGAGATGCTGGCTAGTTTTATTCGTGAACAAATGTTGAGTGCCTCCTGACATAATAACCACAGAGTTCCTACTATCTTAACTAGGATGGATAGATCACAAATATGCCCAACCCTTTCTCTTTCACTCCCAGCAGTGGACGTCTCCTCTCATAGATCAGGCATACCAATTCCAGCTTTGGCATCATAGGTCTTCTCCAGCACATGCTCAATTGGTGTGTCCTTTGGGCCATCTGCATCAGTCAAAGAAAATTAGTCCAATTACAAAATAGACGTGGTATTCATAGAGCAGAGCAGATGCTCATATAGCGACGCAATTCATTTGCATGCCAGCTAGTGGGTAGATCCCCCCTACACATAAGTACAGGAAATTTCTATGGCGCTTCGTTTGTTATTCATTAAACCTACTTATTCTTTCTCTTATCCATACCATACACAGATTGCCCTCAGTCCAACCGTTGTCAAGGACAGCATGAAGCATCAGAATTTATTCTGCGCATTTTACTATTGCTTAACTAATTTTATCATGCCTGTGAAAGTCTTTCTAATATGTACTCCCTCCGTCCCATAATATAAGAACGTTTATGACACTACACTAATGTCAAAAACATTCTTATATTATGGGACGGAGGGAGTAGAATGCAGCAAACAAGCCAAACATCATTAGCAGAAACACCTATAGTAGCATGACTATCGCAGAATGCAGCAACACGAGACAAAATTATGAAAAAAAATAAGTTGTATTAAGTTGAGATTGGCTTGCTCTCCTAATTTTAGATGGAGGTCAGATTAGTGTTAGCTCAATTATAATCCAGGCATCATGAAAAAATCAGATGTTCACAAACAATTGCAGGATAACAAGCCAGTTAATTCTTCTCTGAACAGTATAATTATGCACTTCAAAAGCAACTAATAATGAGCAAAAAGGATCTGTTTACGGAACATACGAGATGTGGGTCTCGGTTTTTTTCTCTCCTTCAAAATTTCTGGCCGAGGTATGACAGCACCAGACGCATACATTCCTCTAGAGACCCTTACTTTCGTCCCATCTGGCAAATACTTGTATGTAGTCTTGCATGGTTTCCTGCAGTCAGAATGTTGACAAATATATTTTTAGTATGTAGACAAATAAAAACTGTATCTCTAGAGAATAACGGTATCAAAAGATGGCCAAAAGTATCATACCCGGTGACTGGATCAATTACTTGTACATTTGAAACATGAAGTGGAGCTTCAATTGAGAAGATCCCGCCTGTTTGTCCTTCCCCTTGCTTAATATGTTTCTTAACCTGAAAATATGTCAGCATACAAATTACTAAGTGATTTTTCATTACAAGAGAAACACATAAACGTTGCAATTGTCCTGTTACCCAGTATCCCCCATAAACATGCAACATCTTACAGTAGATATACAAAGATGTAGAAAGACAAACATTGTGCAGTTCACAGTTCCTGTTCAATATTCACTACAGTCACTTCCTCACCATGTTCAAATCAAGCTGCTTTTATCCAACTGAGTCATTCAGCATTTGTTTGTTATGGGCTTAGGACATGTACAAATCCAGCAAACCATTGCATGGTCTTATTATCAGTTTTTTAAGGCATCTCATTGTGAGTTTGACAATTAACTAAAAGTAAACAAACAACAGAGTGAGGGACATTGTAGTATAAGTATGTATAGCACAGTAACGACTTGGTAGACGCAGACATACCCAAAACGGGATATGCTAACCGCTCAAACGCAGATAGACACGCACAACGCTGCAACAGATCCTGCCAGGGTTGTTTTGGTCCCCTTTCCCTACCATTTTAATGGATTAGGCCTAACACCTCCAGCCTTTCAAACACGCCTTAAGTGACACTTGTATTGCTTGAGCTCTCCAAGATTTGACCAAAAAGCCGACCTCCATATATATAATGATGCACTCAGGCAAACATCCTACTAGTATATGTGCTCGTTTCGTATTTCAGGTATTCTTATGTTATGATGGATGCACGGTATGCGGTGGGAAGAGTTAGATTCTCATTTACTTTACAGATTTATATTCTTACAGATGATATCCCAGTGGGAATTTTCCTCCTGGGCACCATTGTTTAATCTCATCATCCATGATAACTGAAGGGGAAAAAAAATCCTCTGTTGCAGTAATCACCAAATAACATCTGTGCAGGCGCAGCATAGCAGCTACAAACTAGCCTGGGCAGTATCCCTGAAGAATTAGCACGCGGAATTAACGCAGCCAGGTTGCCCATTCACTTTCAGTGGACTGGGAATTTCGACAAACACCTGTAGTGCAGCACTGAGAGCACGTATCACATTGCATACAGCTAGTCACAGATACGCAAATTGATACTCCCATGACACCAAACAGTAGCACCGAATCCTAAGCAATAGCTGACAAGAGAAAGCGAGCAAGGAAGAGTGCATACGATTATATTACCAGATTCTTGCCCTCGACGATGACGCGATTCTGCGACCGGATGACCCGCTTGATCAGCCCGCTCTCCCCCTTGTCCTTGCCCCTTATGATCATCACCTGGCGCCAATTTCATCACAGAGAAAAAGGAAGAAGAGATTTCAGTCAGAGATCTCCCGAGAGCAACCGGAGCTAGCGGGGGTGTGGAGGGGACGGAGATGCCGCGCACGTTGTCGCCGCGGAGGATCTTCCAGTGCCTGATGAGCTTCTCCGCGGCCTTCCACCCCATTCCTGCCTCTCAGCTCAGGCGGCGGCTTGGCTCGGCTCGATTTGGCTGGGAGAGTGGATGGATGGATGGAGAGAGACGGCGGCGCTCGCGGGAGAGGGTGGGCGGCCGGAGGAAGAAAACCACCTGGGATGGGCCTCAAAGCGGGCCGGCATGACAACCGGACCCAAGCGTTGGCCCACGTAGCTAGGCCCGTGGCTCTCCGGAGGCAGGCAGATCAACGGTGCTCGCTCGGTCAGCGCAGGATCGGACGGCTCGGCAAATCTCAGGGATGAGAGTGTGACGGCGGAAAAGAGTGAGGGCTAGACTGCAAGTTGCTCTCTAAATGAGCCGCGACCTCGCCCGGCTCTTCTTCCTCCTCTAGCTAGGGCTAAGCTGATCTTCTCCCCCTTCGCCGGCCGCTCCACCCCCACCGGTCCAGCCCCCGCCAGATTCCCGCCGCTGACAAGCCAAAGGTAAACTCGCCAAGATCTGTCTATTGCTCCAGTTCCTCGCGTCTTCTCTCGCAAGTCCGTCGCGCTAGCTTTGTTCCGGGCTCCGATTCGGTCGCGATTTGGTTCTTTGCTGCGGCAACTGTGGTTAGGAGCACCTCGTGAATTCCCCCTGTTGCGTCGATTCAACTGGTAAAAGGCTTGGGTGTTTCTCCGGCTTGGGCAGCGGCCCTAGTGGCATGAACCTGGGCGAAAAGGATGTGTCCTTTTTCGCCGATTGCTTTATCCAATCTGTATGTATGGCCAGTCGCTTTACTTGCTATGGGCATCCTAGCATATCCCGCGGTAGTGTGCCCCGACATGCTTTTCTCCAATCATTTGCAGAACTAATTAATCTCTGTAGAAGAATTACGTTAAAAAAAATTGTATTCTTTTAACTAGTCAGATTCTTAACTAGCTCCATGCTATATTTACTTGAGTTTGGTTTACCCTATATGCTAGTATTATATATATACACATTGTTATCCACTTCTCATTGTGCTTTTTTTCCCTGTCTTTTTTTCTTTTCCTTCCATCCATTTCATGGATTGTTGGCATCTTTCAATTAAGCCATCAGCCCGTCCTTGGTTACACTTCCAAGTGCATCGCCTTGACCATTGTTTGTATACTCTTGTTTTCTTCTCTGTGCTTGTTCGGGACCGTGTTCTTGAGAACCTCCCTGTATCATCCTGAGCATACGCAATTTCTTCGTTTGTCCCTTAAGCAGTTCCATGCCATCCAGTTTGGCACCTATGGCTACATCCTATTTGATATCATTGCATACCAATTGTTCTAGTTGTTTCTGTTGTTTTTCGTCCTATCCACATGTCCTCAATTTGCTCTCCCGATATTTTTGCCTCCTCTGCTCTTTCCAAAGTTGCCTTGGAACTTTGAGCTCTTCAAGATGCCTAGACGGACAGAAGATGCTGAACCAAAAGAGTGCTTGGAGTTTGATGATAATGAAGAGGAAGAGGTAGAAGAGGAAGAAATTGAGTATGAAGAAATTGAGGAGGAGGTAGAGGAGGAGGTGGTGGAGGAGGAGGAGGAGGAGGAGGAGGAAGTGGAGGAGGTAGAGGAGGAGGAAGACCCTGAAGAAAGAGAAGTTCTTGATGAAATTGATGCTAGTCATGACAGTGACAGTAAATCGGAAGTTGTCCCTCTTCCTCAGCAGGATGGTGCCAAAGATGGGAGCGATAAAGAGAAGCATGCCGAACTTCTTGCTCTTCCTCCTCATGGATCTGAAGTATATTTTGGGGGCATCTCCAGCGATGCATCTTCTGACGATCTCAAGAAACTATGCGAGCCAGTTGGCGAAGTTGTGGAAGTGAGTACCGTCCACTCTCTTAGGGTTAGCATTTCAATGTGTTTTTTCTGCATTCATATTCTCTTTTTTCCTGCAGGTTAGAATAATGCTGAGCAAGAAGGATAGTAGGGGATATGCTTTTGTTACTTTCAGAACTAATGACCTGGCTTTGAAGGCCATCGAGAAATTGAACAAGGCAACTTTCAAGGTTTGTTTCTGTTGATCATTAAAGTTGACTCATGTTCTCATGTCAATGAATCTTACTATACCCCTATTTATGCACTCAAGTCTTTGTGTTCATCTGTAATCGTGTGCCTGCAATGCACATTAATATTAGGCAATATATTAATTGCATTGCATACTAATATTCTACTCCCTCCGTCCCATAATATAAGAGTGTTTTTGACACGTGTCAAAAACGCTCTTATATTATGGGACAGAGGGAGTATTTGATAAGATCTTAATTGCACGTCAACATTAGCTAAGATATAATTATTTGATAGCGCTAGCATGGATATCGGGCATGCTATTAATTAGGAGAGGATTGTGTGAGGAAAGTGATCTGGGCTGGACGTGCGTGGGGCTGTGGCAGAACATTGAATCTTGGCCATTCGATTGGGTGGCAGACCACCAGAGTAATACAGACTGCTAGATTTAGTTAAGTATAAATTAGATCAGAGGGTGGTGGATCTCTTGTGTACACTAATATTGGTGGGTTTAAAAAAGTTGCAATTGATGTTTTTATAAGTAGTAGAGATGGATATTGGCATAGTACATTGCAAGCTTAAACAATTACACGCTTATCTTATGTACTCCATGCCTCCCCTGATAGCCAGGTGTGAATACAGTCTTGTTAAAAAGAATGAAAAACTCTTTAACTTCTGTACTCCAGAGTACAAGCTCTTGTACACTTGAAAACTAAGTGTATTGTTTTGTTAAAAAGTAAGTTTAAAGTGCGATACCTTGCTGTTGATTGCAATTTTTTATTCATTTTAAATTACAGTGTTGTCGATGACTAACCATGATTATACTGATATTTTAAGACTCCATATAGTGTGGCGCATACATATCGGTTCCAGTTGCACCTGAAAGCCTTTTCATTTTGAATTATTATGCTAACTTAACTTTGTCATGTGCTTCTCATAACAGGGAAAGAAGCTAAGAGTTTCTTCCTCCCAGGCTAAGAACAAGCTATTTGTTGGAAATATACCTCACAGTTGGTCATTCGATGATTTTAAAAAAGCAGTGGAAGAAGTTGGTCCTGGAGTATTAAAAGTTGATCTGATTAAGGTAAAGATTTTGATAATCATAACTTGAATAGTTCCACAACTATACCGTGCACCCCCACAAATCTGCTTTTTACCCTTATAAAAGATATTCTGTTTTTATAGGATCCACGTACAGATCGCAATCGGGGTTATGGTTTCGTTGAATACTATAATAATGCATGCGCTGAGTATTCAAGGCAGAAGATGACTGCACCAAATTTCAAACTAGATACAAATGCTCCTACTGTCAGCTGGGCAGATCCTAAGAATGGCGATTCTGCCTCTACAGGCTCTACTTCACAGGTTCCTGAAACATCTGACGGACAAATGATACCCTTTTTTTCTTGTTAAATTGTCATTGATATCTTATATGAACTTCCAATTTCGTGGTTCTAGGTCAAATCTGTATATGTCAAAAACCTGCCCAAGAATGTTACTCAAGGGCAGCTGAAAAAGCTGTTTGAGCGCCATGGTGAAATCATAAAAATTGTTCTCCCCCCTTCAAAAGATGGTCATGATAATAGGTATGGTTTTGTTCACTTTAAAGACCGCCACATGGCCATGAAGGCTGTGAAGAGCACAGAGAAATATGAGCTTGACGGTGAGCTTTCTTCTTGTGTTGGAATGCTGTAATAAATATTTTCTTCTATGTCTTGTTTGTTATGTTTGGTGCATTTAAGGTAATAAATATTTCTTTAACAGGTCAGCTCCTGGACTGCTCACTCGCAAAACCTCCTGCTGATAAAAAAGACGATACAGTATCATTGCCTACTGCCAAAGGAGGTCCGTTGCTGCATGCTCCGCTTGGATATGGTATGCCACGGCCAGATCCTTATGGTGCGCCTCCTGCTTATAGTGCCCCTCCTGCTTATGGTGCACCTCCTGCTTATGGTGGACAGGTATATCACATCTCCTGATGCCTGCTTCATGTGGTAAATTGGTAATACATACATACATACATACAAAGAAGGGTAAAACTTGCTAAATGTCATGTGTTGGAACTTTTGCAGCCTCTGCTCTATGCTCCAGGAGCTCCTCCAGGTGCAGCAATGGTTCCAATGCTTCTACCTGATGGCCGTCTTGTATATGTTGTGTAAGTACCGCCATCTATTTTCCTGAAAACCCGATAAGATACTCTTATTAGCTGCTGTTGGGAGTAGATGACTCCCTATTGCATCAGACTGCTGTTATTAAGGTGCTCTCCTGTTTGTACATACATGCATTCTTTACATTTAACTATCCAGTACACATTAAACGTAGTAACAAAGATATGCAGGGGATAGCACAGAATAAACATCAGTACAGCATATACCTCTTTCTTGGCACACGATGGGTAGAGAAAATTCCGTTTGCCTAGCTATGGCCTCTTTCCATTTTACAGCACACGGAGACTTGGTCATTTTTGGTTGAATGGTGCTGATGGATGTCGTTTTAAATCTGCTATCGTGAGTGATGTGAGCGTTGTGTTTGATATGTTTCCAATGCTGAACACATATTCCATTCCTCTTTGGCAGGCAACAGCCTGGAGCGCAGCAACATTTCGCTTCCCCTCCGCCCCAGGTGCGGCAACATCAGCATTTCACGTCTCCTCCGCCACAGGCACGGCAAATTGGACGCAGTGGTGGCAGCGGTGGCGGTGGAGGCAGTGGTGGATCGAGTAGGTCCGGTTCCGGTACAAAGCGCCCAAGGGGAGATGACAACAACAGCAGCAGTCGCAACCGACAACGCCGGTATTGATCGCAGGAGGTGTATGGTGGTGCTTCGGTTCTAGCGCCAGCAAATTGTGTAATAAGTACTGTCGGATTTTCCTACAAACCTGCTTAACCCGGTGAACTGTGAAACCCGCATCACTATTCGTTCGGAACTGTGTTAGGTCACCTCGAGGTAGTTTTGGTTTGTCTAGGCGTAATTTCTTGTAATGTGGATCAAGTTTAGAAATGGCAAGAACAGCATCGGTGTCTGATGTCTAGTAGTATCCATAGGCTGCAGTGCCAAGAAGAACCCAGAGCTGATCGCAGAATAACAGCAACTTCGGCTCGGAGAATCCAAGATCGGCAGCCCTCAATTGGGATGAGCTTGAGCTGGACCAGGTAGACCTTACTGACATGGAGGGTGACTTCTCATTCGAGGAGATTAAGCGGGCGATTGATGACATCCCTGCCGAAAAAGCGCCAGGACCTGATGGTTTTTCAGGCGGTTTCTTCAAATCGTGTTGGGATACAATCAAAGCCGACCTTTTCGAGGCGCTGAACCAGCTCTATCACATGGACAGCCGGGGCTTGAATCGCATAAACAGCTGACTCGCTCAAAGACTTCCTACCAATCTCGCTATTGCACAGCCTCATCAAGATCTTCACCAAATTCTTGCCACCAGATTAGCCCCTAAACTAGCTAACCTAGTTGACCATTGTCAAAGTGCTTTCATAAAAAAACAGAGCATACAGGAGAACTTCCTGTACATACAAAGCATGATCAGAAAGCTACACAAAGCGAAGCAGCCTACAATTCTGCTTAAGTTGGATATAGCGAAGGCCTTCGACTCGCTCTCCTGGCCCTACATCCTGGACATGCTCGAGGCGTGGGGCTTTGGCGCGCGTTGGCGCGAGTGGATTGCCATGTTGCTCCGGACATCCACGTCACGGGTGATTTTAAACGGGCAACTCACTGACGCCATACAACACCGACAAGGGCTAAGGCAAGACGATTCGCTCTTCCCGTTCCTGTTCATCCTGGCAATGGACCCGCTACAAAAGATGCTGAGCCTTGCAACGGCGCGTGGCCTGCTCACCAAGCTGCCTGGTCGATCTCCTGTAATGCGCTGCTCCTTCTATGCGGATGATGTCGCCATGATCATGAACCCCAACGTAAATGACGCCCGAATGATCCACTTGCTTCTTCAATGCTTCGGCCAAGTGTCAGGTCTCAAAGTGAATGCGGACAAGAGCATGGCCTTGCCAATTAGATGTGCAGCAATTAATCTAGCACTTGTCCTGGCACCCTTTCGCATCCCATGCAAGTCCTTCCCGGTAACCTACCTGGGAATGCCACTTTCCCTAAGAAATCTCACAAAGGCAGACTTCGATCCGTTCCTGACAAAATTTGGAAACGAAACCGCTACATGGAAGGGTGGGCTGATGGCCAAGAGTGGACGCCTCGTCCTTCTAAAATCTGGACTTACCGCTTTGGCCATATACATGATGACGGTGCACAAACTGCCTGCTTGGGTCCTAAAGCGTCTCATACAATTATGTCGCTCCTGGTTGTGGAGCGGGGAGGGCACGTGCAGCAACGGCAAATGCCGAGTGGGATGGAGTCAAATTTGCCGTCCCAAAAACCTTGGCGGTCTAGGGGTTTTGGACCTACGGAAATTTGGTACTGCGCTCCGACTTAGATGGTTGTGGATGGCCTGGCAGGATCCGCCGCGACCTTGGGCACGGTCACTACTGCCGTGTGACGAAAAAGAATGCATGCTGTTTGCAATGGCAACCGAGATCAAACTCGGTAACGGGCGGAAGGCCCGCTTCTGGCAAGACCGTTGGTTACACGGGCAGTGCCCAAAAATCCTAGCACCGGCACTATTTGCAGCATCGGCAAGGAAAAACAGAACGGTGCATGACGCGCTCACGGGGCAGACATGGCTCAGCGACCTTGCACATGGGCTGACCGAAGATATGTTGCAGGAGCTTTATAACTTGGCAGGAAAATTGGACGAGGTTGTGCTTCTGGCTGACCAACCAGATGAGATTGCATGGAGGTTCACCTCAAACCATGAGTATTCAGCTAGGTCCGCCTATCTGCTTCAATTCGAAGGATCGGTGACACCGAAGGGACACAACCTAATTTGGAAAGGATGGGCCCCAGGTAAATGTCGTTTCTTCCTATGGACGGCCGTGTTAGGCAAAATATTAACCGTGGATGCGCTGCTGCGTCGGGGATGGGAGAACAACTATTTTTGCCCTCTCTGCGAAAGGAATCTTGAAACCCCAACACACCTGCTACTGGAGTGTCCCTGGTCCAGATATGCCTGGGAGAAGATCGCCCAACTCACACACACACCGGCGCTACTACCGGCATCATGGGATGGTTTGGTCTCCATCAAAGCATGGCTGGTAGCATGCCATGGCAAGGCACGAGAAGACAGGAAGAAAGGGACCCTGTCCATCATACAACTTATGGCATGGGAGATATGGCGCGAAAGGAATAGACATATTTTTTAGCAAGAATACTTGGGCAGGGAGCGCTTCATAGAGAGAGCAAGAGAGGAGATACGGCTCTGGAACATGGCAGGAGCGGGCATTCCTTTTGACCCGGGCTGATTTCTTTCTTCCTGTTAAACCATGTTTCTTTCTTCTTTGCCTTTGCTTTCGGCTTTTGGTCGAGCTCGCTCGCCGTCTACTCATCTTGTGTACGCTTGTAGCTCGACCGTTCATCTCTCTAATCAATGAATTTGGTAGCGATGCTACCAACATTCAAAAAAAAGAATAACAGCAAATGGCACATCCAGCTGAGGTTCAGTCCATTTACGTGTTGCTCGGGTTAGATTTTTCTTTTTGAGCCCATGCAGATATGCAGGAGAGCTGCATGTGTTACTATATACAGAGTAGTAGAAGAAGTCTTCAGGATACAGGAAAACACGAACTACCCAACAACAACAAAGCCTTTAGTCCCAAACAAGTTGGGGTAGGCTATAGGTGAAACCCATAAGATCTCGCAACCAACTCCTGCTCTGTCATATGGATAGCAAGCTTTCACGCACCATGGATTCAAGGAAGTTCCACTCAACAATTATTGAGGTTCGAATTTGCTAATCAGCACCGTCTATCTCCCATCTCTTCTTTGCTGATGATTCAATGATCTTGATCAAAGCAAACCAAGGAGAGACAAGGGTGCTTAGGGAGGTTTTGGACCTTTATGAGAACTGTTCAGGGCAGTGTATTAACATTGAAAAATCTGCGCTCATGTTCTCCCAAAACACTCCAATGCAGACCAAGAACGAGGTGAAGGCGGCTCTAGGCATAGTGAGTGAAAACTGGAATGAAAGATATCTGGGCTTACCCGTGCAGGTGGGCAGATCTAGACGCAAAGTGTTCGGATATATCAAGAAAACCTGTGTGGAAGAATGCATGGTTGGCAGGAGAGGTTGCTAGCAAAAACCAGCAAGGAAACCTTGATCAAAGCGGTCGGGCAGGCCATTCCCACTTTTGCAATGTCTTGTTTTGACCTAACTAAGGGTTTCTGCAAGGAGCTGGACACGCTTATCAACAAGTTTTGGTGGAGCCAACAAGATAAAGAGACGACCATGCACTGGATCAGTTGGGAAACCCTAAGTAAACCCAAGGCTTTGGGCGGGCTGGGGTTTAGGAACATGCATGACTTCAACATCGCAATGCTCTCCAGACAAGGGTGGCGTCTTCTGCAAAACCCGGACAACCTCTGTGCACGTACTCTAAAAGCGCGCTATTTTCCAAATTGCACCATCTTGGAGGCAGAGGCTCGGGAGGGTATTTCCTACTCATGGAGAAGCATTTTGCATGGACTTGACTTGGTTAAACAAGGATATATATGGCGCATTGGTGATGGTACGCAAGTAAAGATCTGGTTGGACCCATGGATCCCAAGGGCATGGTCGAGGCAAGTTATTACCCCATGAGGACAGAATATCCTCACCCATGTTAATGAGCTCATTTGCCCAGTCACTGGATCTTGGGATGTACAGCTTGTGAACGACTCCTTCTGGCCGGATGATGCTCGTCATATCCTGCAAATCCCCCTGCGGGAAGGGGTGAGTGACTTTACGGCATGGCACTATGACAACAAGGGACATCACTCTGTCCGCAATGCCTACAAGCTTCAGGTTCAGCTCGGCAAGGTAAACAGCCGGGGAAAATGCTGGGAGCAGCACTGCGGTAGCCGGCAATCTATATGACTGTGTGGATCCGGCTTGGAAGCGCATATGGAAACTCCCATGCCCACGGAAGATCCAAATGTTCACTTGGCGTCTGAAGCATGAGTCTTTGGCGTTCCGCACAAACCTAGTAAGAAGAGGAATGAAGATTGAGAGCACAAAATGCTTGTTCTGCGGCTGTGCGGACGAGGATGGGGCGCACCTTTTCATCAAATGCAAGTCAGTGAAAGTTGTGTGGCGAGCACTTGGGCTGGAGAAGGAAAGGCAAGACCTTGAAGAAATAACGTCCGTGCATGTCATGCTTGATTACCTTTGGGGGCTTTGCGAGAATAAGCGGGTGCATATACTCACCATGTGGTGGCATTGGTGGAAGTACCGGAACAAGGTGAGGGAAGGAGAATTGGCAGTGCCCTCTGTTGAGCTAACCCGTCGTGTGCTGTCCAACACCGTGGAATATCTGCAGTTATTCAGCGCAAAGGAGAGAAAGAAGGAACAATTCAAATGGCACCCACCAGCTGCTGGCGCTCTGAAGGTGAATATGGACGGTGGATTTAGACCCGGCGAGGAGTCAGTAACCTGGGGAGTGGTGGTTCGTGATGATTCTAGAGGCATGATCAAGGCTCGGGCGGGCAGAACTGAGCAGGTGGCCGACCCATTTGGCACTGAAGTGGTAGCTGTTACCCAAGCCATTAGTACGGCTGCTGAACTTGGCGCGCTCCGGGTGGTGTTTGAAACGGACTCCAAACTCCTACAAGAAGCTCTCGATCTAGGCAGGGTGGACTCCTCCCCGTATGCGGCTCTCATCGAAGACTCTAAGTTCCAACTTAAGATG